CCTTCCGGTGCCCCACGCCCTGCCTGTGTCCCACACCCTGCTTTCCCCCCTGTTCTGCTTCTCTGCTGCTTCCCTTCCCCACCAGGCTGGGTGCCCACCCAGCGCAGCCCCCCCGGCGCCCTCCCCTCTCCCACCTGCTGCCAAAGGTCCTTCTGCTCCAGCAGTGGCTTTTTAAAGCTCCTTGCTGTGCTCTCACCAGAAGCCCTGCCCGTCCCTGCCTGCACTGCTTGTCCCTGGGGCCAGGGAAGCAAAGAGGAGGAAGCCCAGCCCCGGAGCAATGCCCATCCTGGCTATATTTAGTGAGCCATTTATAGAGCAGCACAGGCTAAATCCAGCCCCAGCCCTGCCTGGTGAGCCAGGGCTCTTCAAAGCTGCCTCTTCAGACTTGGAAAACCCTGTAGACAATTGCCACCAGGCTCATCATGTGCCACTGGAGCAGCCTAAAAAACGCACAAACGCTGCTTTTGCAGGAGCTGCAAAGCTGGGAAGCCCAAGGGAGGGAGGGGGGGACACGTCTCTGCCTCCTGCCAGCCCCGAAATAGCAGCAGTTGGTGGCAAATCGAGTGTGAAGCCTCAGGCAGCAGCTCCTTCCTGCTCGTGGGGTTGGCTCTGGAGACCCCAGGCAGGCTGAGCAGGGCACAGCTTTCAAACAGGGTCAGGGGCTCTGCTGCCCAGACCACCAGCATCTCCAGACCTGCAGGATCCCTAGACCTGCAACATCCCTGGACCACAAGCATCCCCAGACCTGCAGAATCCTTGGACCTGCCTGGGGGCTGATGGAGCTCAGCTCTGTGCCCCTCAGCAGCCATTTCCAAGCAGCCTCTGTGCCTTTGGAACTTCATCTCAGCCAGCTGGGGGGTGTCCCTGGTGTGGAAGACCTCCTGCCAGGCTGTGAGGAGGGTTCTGCTCAGGGCATGGGTGAAGGTTTGGTGGGTCTTGCAGGTGCCTGGTGCTGGAGGTGACAGTTAGTGGGGGCAGCAGGGGGTGTGGGGGAAGCTGACCACCCCACCTCTCTCTCTTCAGATCTCAGATGCTGTCTATAGGATGGTGTACGAGCAGACCAAGGCCCAGTATGATGCAGTAGTGGCCAAGTGTGAAGAGGAGAGGCCCCAGATGGAGAGCACCATCCGCACCGACATGGACCAGATCATCACCTCCAAGGAGCACTTGGCCAGCAAGATCCGAGGTACACGTGGGGACATGGATGTGTGTAGCTGTGTCTGTGACCAGCTCCTGGCACAGCATCACCCCTGTGTCACCAAGGTGTGGCTGTTCCTAGGGTGCATGGCCTGGAACTCCTGGGGAGATGCCAGCAGCTGTGGTGGCCCAGGTGCACATCCTGATTGCCTTAGGAGGTGGGGGTCAAGGTGGGAAGTGACCTCCCCACCAAGGTAATCATAGAATCATAGGGGTTGGAAGGGACCTGGAAAGCTCCCCCAGCCCAACCCCCCTGCCAGAGCAGGGGCACCCAGAGCACATCACACAGGAACGTGGCCAGGGGGGTTGGAATGTCTCCAGAGAAGGAGACTCCACAGCCTCTCTGGGCAGCCTGGCCCAGGGCTCTGTCACCCTCACAGCAAAGAAGTTCTTCCTGATATTCTCATGGAACCTCCTGTGCTCCAGTTTGCACCCATTGCCCCTTGTCCTGTCACTGGCCATCACTGAGAAAAGCCTAACTCCATCTTCCTGACACTCACCCCTTACATATTTGTTACCACTGATGAGGTGGCCCCTCAGTCTCCTCTTCTCCAAACTAAAGAGACCCAGCTCCCTCAGCCTTTCCTCAGCAGGGAGATGTTCCATGGGGCAGCAGTGGGTTCAGTGCAACCCCTTGGGTTGTCCTGTAAGCCTGGGAGACCTCTCCTGGTGGAGCCTGAGGAGAGGGGCAGGTCCTTCCCACCAGGGTGGGTTTAGGACCTGCTTTGCAGAGCTGGAAGGGCAGAGGAGCCTCACCACGCTTCCCTCTGCTCTCTGCCCAGCATTCGTCCTCCCCAAAGCAGAGATCTGTGTCCGTAACCACGTCCAGCCCTACATCTCCTCCATCCTGGAGGCCCTGATGACCCCCACGAGCCAGGGCTTTGCTGAGGTGAGGGAGGTGTTCTTCAAGGAGGTGACGGACATGAACATGAACGTGGTCAACGAAGGTGGCCTGGAGAAGCTGCCAGAGGTGAGATATTGGTGACCCGTGGGCTTCTGGGTGGTGCTGTGCTCAGTATGGACAGTGCTGAGAAAATACACGGGGGGGTGAAGCCCGTGGGGGGTGGCACAACCCAGCCCTGAGGGTGTGGAGAGGCCGTCCTGCCCTGCTGACCTGGGCTTTTATCCCCAGTACATGGAGAAGCTTTCCCACCTGGCCTTCCACCCTGTCAAGATGCAGTCGTGCTATGAGAAGATGGACCAGCTGAAGCTGGAGGGTCTCCAGCAACGGTTCGATGTGTCCAGCACGTCTGTCTTCAAGCAGAGGGCCCAGATCCACATGAGACAGGTGGGATGGAGACCGGGGTCCTCCTGTGTCCCCCAGGGCGGAGTGGGGAACCCAAGCTGGTCAGCCTTGGCAGGGATTTGGTTGGGATGTCTGTCCTGTCCAGGGACTTTCACCCAGCTGAGGGTGTGTTTTGAGGCTGGAGCTGGAGCCTGGTGGGAGCTGTGGTGGGCAGCAATGTGGGGCACCCTCCAGCATAGACTGAGCACCCAGACATGGGTGTCACAGCCCCCTCTTTGCCACCAAGCCCACTGGCACCAGCATGGCCAGTAGCCCAATTCTGGGGTCTGGGGTCCAGCCAAACCCGGAGCAGGGTGTAAAAGGGAGGGGTGCAAACCACTCTGGGGCACCCTCCTCCCTCAGCACCTTGGTCCCTAAGGTGGGTGCCACCCTGGGATGCTGGGGACCTTGCCAGCGTGAAGGCTCATCTTGGGGTGGCAGTGGCCCAAAAAGAGCCCCCTGCCCACCTCCATGGTTGGTCCTGTTGGGTCCCCCTGACCCTCTGCCTCTCTGCCCTCAGCAAATGGACGATGCCGTGTACACGTTTGAGACGCTGCTGCACCAGGAGGTGGGGAAGCTGCAGGGCAGTGACAACCTGTGCAAGTCCATCCAGCGCATCCTGGAGAGGGTGCTCAAGGTGAGGGAGGCTTTGGTGGCCTTTGGTGGCCTTTGGTGGCCTCTGGTGGCCTTTGGTGGCCTTTGGTGCTAGGGTCAGGATCCTAGGGAAGAGCAGGGGAGTGAGCTTTGCCATTGAATACAAGTCTTCAGGGGAAAGATGTCTTTATAATTGAGACTTTGATGCATTTTTGCTGGGATGGGGGGAGGCAGGAAGGGGGGGAAGCCACCTGGAGGAGCCAGGTCCCCTCTGAGCACATTGACTGAAAAAGCCACCTGAGGTTCCGAGTGGCCCAAAGACCTTAGTGCAGGCAGTGGTGGAGGAGCTGGCTCATACCTGAGCTCAGACACCCTCAGGACTGGCTGGGGGGAAGGATGGGAGAGGCAGAGGAACCTCCTCACGTCCCTGCAAAGGGATTTTGGGGCAGGGATTGCGGGCACGGAGGAGGAAGGTGCCAGCCCACGCTGACCCAGGGCTGCCACCTCCCTCTTCCTGCAGAAATACGACTACGACAGCAGCACTGTGAGGAAGAAGTTCTTCAGGGAGGCCCTGCTGCAGATCACCATCCCCTTCCTGCTG